AGTCCTAACAAGGGGCAGAGCCAGGCACAGCAGGTCAAAAAAAGGAGACTCCCTAAGTGACCAGGGAGCCAGCGACCAGAGACAGCAAACAGTAGTTTGCAAGTCAGTTTGCTGCCCTGCTCTTTGCAAGGGAGCCATTAAGGTAAGCTGTTTCTTTAAATAAGAGTAGCTAACCTACATATATTTACTGTAAGTATCTAGGCGTTAGACAAGTACTTAAGCCCCTTGCTTAACTAGAGTCCCAAGTGAGGGGGATGTCACCAGGGAGTTTGCCTGGAAACTCTCTCAGCTTTCTTCACTGTAAGTTTGGTAAGAGGAAGCAGGGAAAAGGGAACTTTTTGGGACTAAGGAACAGTGAACAGGCCAGTTTCCAGGGGAGTTTGCTAGGGAAGGTCTGTTTGGAAAGAGAGGCAGGAAGAGAGCTGGTGTTCTTCTCGATCCTTCTGGTCAAGGGGAAGGGGCTGGGCAGGAGCAGATGCATCCTACAGAACAATGCATGGCTGTGCAGATGGTGTCATCAGCAGGGCTTTGGCTTCTTGATCATGGCATGTTGTTCGAAGAAGAATTGCTAAGAAGAGACAGGATCCACCTGTTGAAGAGAGGGAAGAGCATCTTCGCAGGCAGGTTCACAAACCTAGTGAAGGAGGGCTTTAAACTAGGGTTGTTGAGAAATGAACACAAAAGCCTGGAGGTAAGTGGGTGACCTGGAGGAAGCACAACTAGGAGGTGGCAATAGGGGAAGCCTTCTCATATTTGAGAAAGTAGGGAAATTGGCTGGTTACCTCAGTTTGGGAAATGAGCAGGAAGTATTGGAAAAGAGACTCCCTAAGTGACCACAGTCGCAGAACTGTGACATGATTGGAATAACAGAGACTTGGGATAGCTCACATGACTGGAGCACTGTTGTGGATGGGTATAAATTGTTCACGAAGGACAGGCAGGGAAGAAGAGGAGGAGTTGCTCTTTATGTAAAAGAGCTGTATGATTGCTTAGACCTTCAGTATGAAACTAGAGAGAGGCCTGCTGACAGTCTCTGGGTTAGGATTGGGTGGGAGAGCAACAAGGGTGATGTGGTAGCTGTGTGCTGTAAACCACTAAATCAGGAGGATGAGGTGCATGAGGCTTTCTTCAAAAAGCTAGCAGAAGTTTCTCAATCACAAGCCCTGGTTCTCATGGGGGACTTGAATCACCCTGACACCTGTTGGGAGGGGAGAAAAACGGCAATCCAGGAAGTTTTTGGAGTGTGTTGGAGACAGCTTCCTGGTGCAAGAGGGGCCATGCTCTTCATCTCATGCTCACAAACAAGGACGAAGTGCTGGGGGATGTAGTAGTGGATGGCAGTTTGGGCAACAGTGACCATGAGATGATTGAGTTCATGATCCTGAGAAAGAAAGGAGAGCAGCAGAACATGGATCCTGGACTTCAGAAGAGCAGATTTTGACTCACTCAGGAAACTGATGGGCAGGATCCCCTGGGAGGCCAGTCTAAGGGGGAAATGAGTACAGGAGAGCTGGTTATATGTTAAAGACACCTTACTGAGGTGCAGAATGAATCACCCCGATGCACAGACAGATTAGCAAGTATGACAAATGACCAGCTTGGCTTAGCAGGAAACTCTAGTGAGCTAAAACATAGAAGGAAGCTTACAAGACTAGCTTCCAGGCTAAAGAGCCCTGGGGCTCTTTAGCCTGGAAAAGCGCAGGCTCAGGGGTGATCTGATGGTCACCTATAAGTTTATCAGGGGTGACCACCAGTATCTGGGGGAACGTTTGTTCACCAGAGCGCCCCAAGGGATGACGACTAGGTCGAATGGTCATAAACTACTACAAGACCGTTTCAGGCTGGACATAAGAATTTCTTTACTGTCCGAGCCCCCAAGGTCTGGAACAGCCTGCCACCGGAGGTGGTTCAAGCACCTACATTGAACACCTTCAAGAGCAAACTGGATGCTTATCTTGCTGGGATCCTATGACCCCAGCTGACTTCCTGCCCTTTGGGCAGGGGGCTGGACTCGATGATCTTCCAAGGTCCCTTCCAGCCCTAATGTCTATGAAATCTATGAAAAAGCAGTGGAAACTTGGGAAAAAACTAGGGAGGCGTATAAGACTATTACTCAAGCATTCAGGGATTAAATTAGGAAGATCAAAGCTTAGTTGGAGTTGAAGCAAGGAAGGTGAAGAGTAACAAGAAAGCTTTCTACAAGTATGTCAGCAACAAGAGAAAGATTAGGGAAAGTATGGGTTGCTTACTAAATGGGGGAGGCAACCTAGTGACAGATGAAATTGTGAAAGGCTGAAGTACTCAATGCTTTTTTTACCTCTCTTTTCTCAAGCAAGTACAGCTCCCTGACTAGTGCACCTGGCAGCACAGTTTGTGGAGTAAGTGAGCAGCCAACAGTGACAAAAGAACAGATTAGGGACTATTTGGAAAAGCCGGACATGTACAACTCTGTGGGACCAGATGCAATGCACCCAAGAGTGCTGAGGGAGTTGGCCAATGCAATTACAGAGCTGCTGACCATTATCTTTGAAAAATAGTGGGAGAGGTCCCAGATGATTGTAAAAGGGCAAATATAGTGCCCATCTTTAGAAAGGGAAAGGAGGTGCTTCTGGTGAAACTACAGACCAGTCACCCTCCCCTCAATCCCTGGAAAAATCATGGAGCAGGTCCTCAAAGAATCCATTTCTAAGCACTTGGAGAAGGTAATTACAAACAGTAATCATGGATTCACCAAGGGCAAGTCATGCCTGCCCAACCTGATTGGCCTCTATATTGAGATGATGTTCTCTGTGGATGCGGGAAGAGCAGTGGACATGACATACCTTGACTTCAGCAAGAGTTTTGATATGGTCTTGCACAACATTCTTGCAAGAAAGCTAAGGAAGTTCAGATTGGATGAATAGACAGGTGTAAGGTGGATAGAAAGCTTGCTGGATCATTGGACTCGACAGTAATAGTCAATAGCTTGTTATCTATTTGGAACCCAGTATCAAGTGGCATGCCGTAGGGCTTGGTCCTGGGGCCAATTTTGTTCAGTATCTTTATCAATGACCTGGAAGATGGGCTGGAGTGCACCCTCAGCATGTTTGCAGATGACAGCAAGCAGAGAGGAGTGGTAGATATGCTGGAGGGTAAGGCTCGGATTCAAAGTGACCTAGACAAAATGGAGGATTGGGCCCAAAGGAATTTCATGAGGTTCAAAAAGGACAAGTGCAAAGTCCTGCACTTAGGGCAGAACAGTCCCATGCACTGGTATCGGCTGGGGGTTGTCTGACTGGGCAGCCGTTCTGCAAAAATGGACCTGGGGGTTAAATGGACAATAAGCTGAATATGAGCTAATGGTGTGTCCTTGTTGCCAACAAGGCTAACAGCATACTGGGCTGCATTGGTAGGTGTGTTGCCAACAGGTCAAGGGAAGTGATTATTCCCCTCTTCAGCACTGGTGAGGCCACATCTGGAGTACTGTGTTCAATTTTGGGGCCCCCACTAAGGAAAGGATGTGTATGAACTGGAGAGAGTCCGGCAGACGGTAACAAAAATGGTGAGGGAGCTGGGGCTCATGACTGATGAGGAGAGGCTGAGAGAACTGGTTTTATTTAGTCTGGAGAAGAGAAGCCTGAATGGTGGTTCGGAAGAGGATGGAACTAGACACTTTTCAGTGGTGGCAGATGACAGAACAAGGAGCAATGGTCTCAAGTTGTACCAAGGGAAGTTTAGGTTAGGTATTAGGAAAAACTTCCTTACGAGAAGGGCAGTAAAGCACTGAAACAGGTTACCCAGAGAGACTGTGAAATCTGCATCCTAGGAGATTTTTAAGACCTGACTATTCAAAGCCTTGATTAGGATGATACAGTTGGGTATGGTCCTGCTTTAAGCAGGGGGTTGAACCAGATGATTTCCTGAGGTCCCTTCCAACTCTGTTTTATATGGGTGCCTATACATTTGCAGGGAGGCTGCTCCGATGCACTGTAATTACAGCATGTTGGAGCAGACTTGATTTAATTGCATCTGCTGAAGCATAGTAATTGATCCAGGTCAGAGCAGCCCTGGGGCTGCTCCAACCTGGCTCAATGTGCTGCGGTACCATGTGCACATTCAAATACAGCACCCAGGGGTGATAAACTCCAGTGCAATATGTGCCAGAGTTTATTGCTCCATGCTAATGGCACATCTCATCTAGCTGATAGTATGCTAATAGCCCTCTGTGACACTACACTGTAGCAAATTAGTGCTACTGCACAGTTAAGTGCACTTATAAATGCACCCACTACATACTGAGTGTTTGCTTAGGAATCTACATTTGTCCTTAATTATAATTTGAGAGAAAGAGACTAGATCCTTTTGTTAGGTTTTTGTTTTCCCATTTACGATTTAAATACACAAGAAAATAACAATTACAGAGGATGCTTTGTTTTAATGTATCCAGGTGTATTAGTTTGTTGTTCTGCTTTACAGCTTTTTAATCTAATGCAAAGTGCATTAAATGAATACACGTTACCATTTTAAGGAACAATAAATGAAAGTACTTTTATGTCTCCTTCAGCTCAATATTTATAATGTATCTTGAGGGATTTATGATGGAGAAAGTGAGTGCAACTTTAACAACTTTACAGCTAGAGAAGTCTAAAACTGCTGGATCAAAAGTTAGTTTTATTTGTATCCTCCTCCAAGAAGTGTCAGACAGGCTAAGAATGGGGCCCAAAGACCAAGGCCCCATGTAATTGCTTGTTCTAGTTTTGCTCGTGTCCAGTTGTGACCATGCAAAACAAGAACTTTTCATTTTCAAATGTATTTGTTATAAAAGGGGATTCATTAGGTATTTGTAATTTCCTGTTGTATTCTTTGTAGAGGCTACTGACAGCACTTCCAAAACAAAATAGTCTCCAGATTTGACATCAAAAGATGTAAAAATATTACTTCCATCAGTTTTCAGTTAAAATCATGATTACAATACAAACGTTAATACCTTTTTATATTTCTTTTTTTTCTTTTGTTTTTAGCTGCTGATGCAAATGTGAAGAATGAAAGCCTTTTATCTGTGCAGCAACTTGGCATTAAAATGACAGTCAGGTACATTGTATAAAAATGTTTCCCTAGAGTATGTCTAGATTTTGTTTGATTTCCTTGGAATGACTTTAATGATAGTTAATCCGTCAGCTCAACATTTTGTACTGTTTAAATCTAAAGATCATCTTTGAGAAAATTAATTCTTATTTTCCAAATGAAAAAGGTATTAGAACATCATTAAATTATCTGCAACAAATTATATAGGTTATTATCCTTTATTATGCTGAGGGCTAATTGCAACTTGTTTAGAAAGATTTACAGTTAAACTTACATTATCCCGTTATGTATTTTTATCCTAACATAGCCTCTTTAAATAGCTCTGTGTTTAGCTAAGCTTAGTCATATGCCATTTACTCATATTAGTTCATTTGTAATTTGCAAGACCATTATGAAGGGTAAAGTAATGTAATTTAGTTCTGGTGACTGTAGTTCTACAGACTGATTTTTATAATTCCATCTAGATTAATTTTTATCGCTAAGTGTAATTAGAAACATCAGGATTTAAATATTAGTGATAAAGATAACAGTGTACAGGAACAAAATATACATCATTAGATAAAATATTACAGTATTTACAAATAAGTAGTAATCGTTTAAAAAAAAATGAAGGCTGACAGATTTGAATAATAAATGCCTGCTGTACTTCTTGATCAAATCTAAACTAGTAATTCTGTACACTGGTATGAATACTTAATTTTTCTAAACTCTAAAATATACTTAATCCAACCTGTTTTAAATAAACTTTTAAATTGTTTTTATTTAAACTCAAATAATTCACTTTTTAAAATGTTGGTGGTTTTTTGTTGCTGCTAGGTATGGAAAATATTTAAATTTATTGAAAGACAACGCAGAAAATGATCTATGTTTGGTGTTAAAGCATTCTGAGAAATTTCTAAAGGAGCAGAAAACAACTATAAAGTCCTCACTTCGTATCCTTTCCTGATGACATGAATTACCGTGTCCAGTAAAATAACAGTAGCAGTTGAACTGCCAGATCAGTTTTTACAGTCTTCTGATACTTTGATTTTTCTGACAGTGGAAGAAACTAAAAAGTAATTTGCATGACACTGTACAGAAAGAAATCCACCCTTGCTAATAATCTTTATATAATTAGAATGTCTCCATTAAACAGATTATCACTTACCTTCATTCTCGCCCTTTCATCGCCTAGAGTTTGTTAAGCTTGTTGTCTACTTTAATTTTAAGCCCTTTGGGCTTTTTATATGTGTCGTTTATATAATATCTTTTTATATATGTGTATAGTAGCACTGGGTCCTTACCTTCAATAAGACTTCTATACATTTCTATATGCCTATGGGGACAATACTACTCACATTGAACATTTAATACTTTATCATTATAATTTAATTTGCACTAAGGTTTTGATTTTCTTACTTTTTTAGAGAATATTTACATTTTTTTTGCTTGTTTGTATAAAAGCAGCATAAAAGAAAAATCTCTTTTGCCTGTCTACGCTACCTTTGTAATGAATTTGTTTTATTTTTTAAATGCTTAAGGACACGGTCACAATATACGTGGCACTTTTAAAGGCTTTCATTTTATATGGTTACTCCTATTTTATACACCTTGGACATTTTGGCAGTTTGGAAGCTAAAACCTGTTGCCTTACTGAAATGTATTTCTTCTCTTACATTTGCATAGTTCAGTCAAGTGCCATCCTCATTTACAGAGTCAGCAACATGATGATCAAAATATCTTCAATTAGTTGCGTCTTTTGTCAGCCTTGCCACTCAATTTATATATAATGCAGTCCAGTCTTCTGTGCATCTTCCTAGCATCAGTTCCTTGGTCAGTCCTCCTTTCTCTTCCCTGGCACACAGTCTTCTATTATATTCTTTTCTAAACTGCCTCCTGTTATTTTTAGGAAGTGTCTGTGGTATTTCATAGTTTCATAGTTGGTAGGTTCAGAAGGGATCTGAGCAGATCAATTTCTTTTTTTTTCTCTTACAATTTCCATTAATCCAGATTTAGTTCTAATGCTATTGACTGCCCATATGTTGGATTTGTTGTTGGGTCTAGAAAAAATTCAGTGTCCTTCTGAAGCATATCATCTCAAATGCTATTAATTTTTTTTTCTCCAGCTCCTTAAGGTTCACTGCACTTTAGTATAGGTTTAGGCAGCTTACATTAAGATGCCTAAAAGTAGAGTGGGAGCAAGGCTGACAGCCCCCCCAAGGTTTAGTAACTTGAGGTTGGGGCAGAGGCTTGCAGGATCAGGGGTGGCTGGTGGGTCTGGGGGTTGGTGAATCTGTGGTGAGAGGGTTGCTGTCAAGGGGGTAATAATAGCCAAGTTAAAGTCGGGGGGTGGGGGGGCAGGAACAGCACAGCCCAGAGGTTAGGGTGGTGGCTACAGCTATGCTGTGAACATGTGCAGGTGTTCACTAGATTGGGTTAAACCCTCCGTAGATCAAGTTAACCCTTTCTCAGTATAAGTTAGTTCACCTCCTAAGGAACTTTTCCTCACCTATGTCTTACTTCATCTTGCATTTATTGTCTTCTGTTAAGAGTGCACCCAAGTACTGCACAACTAATCTTTGGTTGGAACTTCACAACTAATCTTTGGTTGCAAACTCGGTCGTTCAGCTCTTCTAAGGTAGTGGTACAGCTGTCTACATATCACAAGTTAATAAGCCATCGTCTTCCATTGAGGGCTTCATACATGATCATTTCTGTATGGATATTAAAATGTGTTGGAGACAGGATGGCTTATCGAACTCTTTTCCATACTTTGAACCATTCTGATACCAGTCCAGCTTTCTGTCCTTCATACAGTTTACACAGTAGGTCAGTCAAATATGCTGGTACATCTCCTTCAGTATCCTTAATCATTACTTTGTGTATTCACTGAAGCAGTAGATTTATGGATCAAAGTTACAAAGGTGTCCATGCTCTTTTGCCTTCTCCTTTGCAATTCTCAAATTCATTGCCTGGTTTCTGTCAGTTTGCTTTGCCAAAATCCTAGTTGCTTTGTTGCAATCTGTTTCTCCAGTTGCTCTGATGCTGCACTATATTGGTACAAAATTTTGGAGCAAATTACATCAGGTCCCCAGATGTACAGATGATTACATTTGTTCTTTTTCGGATTATTATTTATTTCCAGGATTCCTGTTTTGTTTTGTTTTTTAGTATGGTATGATTTTTTTAAGTACATGACTTGTTATGATTCACATGTGAATCTACCTTCCTCCCTTAGTTTGTTTTTTGGAGGTTGTGGGGGTTTTTTTGTTTGCTTGGTTTTTTTGTTTTTCTTTTGTCTTAAAAGAAAAATGCTTGCATACCAATGGAAGTTTGTTGGGTTCCTTAATTTTCTTTAACAGGCCGTCTGCAGGGACATTATGCTGGCCATGACTGGTTTGCATCATCTGTATTCCTCATAATGTTAGGAGACAGAGAAAAAACATTAACATTTCTTCAGCAGTTCTCCCATCTTCTCATCTCAGCATTTCTCTGGCTGCCAAGACTACATATGTCTGTAAGATGTTAAAGATGTTTTTGGTCGGGTTTTTTAAGGCAGCTTTGAATTTTTTAAAAGGAAAGTTTATCAATTTCACTGACTTTTTAAATAATGCATTAACTTTTCATTAAAGCTCTGAGTGCTTGTCCCTTAAAAATTCTCTTAGAAAAATATAGATTTGACATTTGCTCAAATGGTTGTTTAAAGGTACTGAAATAACAGGTAGACTCATGGTAATGGCAGTGTTATTGAATTTTAAAGTTGGCAATAAAATAAACTTTATTACTGGTGTTAAATTCTGTGCGTAGGCTGAAGCTACTATTGAGAGGATTTTTTTATTATTATTGTAATACTGAAGTTCATTGTTTTGATTATTAGCTTTGCTGTATTAAAAATCATTAAAAGGTGCCAAATATCAGTGTTATACTGAGAAAAACATTGAAAGGGTCTTAGTGACTTTGAAACATCATTATAAATCGGGTCCTAAATGCTTCAATATTTTTAAAGGCTAGTATTTTAAACTGAGTTAATTCTGTAAGATCCATACTTTTCATTCTTTGTTAAATAAGGTATCTATATATAAAGCAAACTAACCAAAGAAAAGGGTTTTATTTTGTAGAATTAATGGAAATGTTTTCAGATTCTTTAACCAGTATAAATTAAACTACCAACTGTGGCCAGTCATTAGAAACTGTTTTTCCAATTAAAAGATTCTATAGCTTTTCTTCAAGAAAAGTTCTTGGAGTTCTATTGCTTAAAGCCCCAGCCCCACTTCTGGGGGTGGTCCAGCGCTGAAATGTTTGGCTGTATTATAATGCAGGTCTTTGTGCTGGACTCCCTCAATTATGAGGTCTTTATCTCCATCCAAGCAAGAACTGGTTAATTGGCAGGTTTACAAACCCTTGATGCTTGGACATTCCATAATCACTAACTGTATATTTAAATAGTTCATGAGTTGAAAGATGGCCAGGATAAAGTGTGCACTAATTTCCTGAAAGGATTGACAATGGCAAAATCTGGCCTGCTGAATTTAATTTTTAATAAATCTTGAATTGCCAAGAAAATTCTGGATGACTGGAAGACCACTAATGTTCTGCCAGAATTAAAAAAGGGCAGTAGGATGATCCAGATAAGTATAGACAGGCTAGCTTGACATCTTTCCCAGGCAAAATTATTTGAATATCCAATAAGGAATTCAATTCATAAAGACATAAAGGATAACAGGATAAGAATACCAGCCAACCTGGTTGTATGAAAAATAAGCCCTGTCAAACAAATCTGATTTATTATTCAGTGATGAAATTTAAGTTTGTTTGATAAAGGTTAACTACATACTTTTAATAGACAAAGTTTTGACTTTATTACTGCATGACCCTCAGATTATATAAAATAGCACTACATGATACCAGCAGAGTACACATAAAATGGATTAAGGAATAGCTTTTTGATAAAGATTAAAAATAATACTGATGGAAAATCCTTAAGTATTGGGAATATTTCTAGAAAAGTTTCTCGGTTCTAATTCTCTTCAAATCAAGACCCTTCTTAAAGGCTTGCTTAATACAAGTTTTGCTTTATTCAGACATACAATATATAGAGGTAACTGGGTATAATGTCATGGCTAGTAACACTAAATGATCTAATAGTCTCTTCAGGCCTTAAACCCCTTGAATTCATGGAAAAAGTATATTTGCCAGGTGCTGCATTTGCAGGAATCCAAGTCCAAATCAATTTTATCCATAAAACGTAGAGAGAATTTCTCAGGTTGAGAAATCATGCATTTCTGGGCAGAGATTCTCATATGTCTCTCCCTTTACTATAAGCATGTCATAAATTTCAGATTTAGTTTTGCTACTACTGTTGTTCCAAATATTGACTTATATGTTCTTTGTCACAATTTTCACAAAGATTAGTGGTGAAGTGGCTACGTAGTAATGAAAACTACACGTGTATTGTATTGATAATTATTGTCCCACTAGTACAGGGGTGGGCAAAATATGGCCCGTGGGTTGCACTCCCGCCGTCATGGCTGAGCCCGGTAAGGTGCTGCCTGTGCATTGGGGCCTGAGTCAGGCGAGGCAGAATCCTCCACCCCTGCCCACAGCTGGGAGCAGGGGGATGGAAGCAGGGAAATGCCCAGGGAAAAAGGATGGGGAGGAAGCTCTGCTGCTTGCTCCTAGGAAAGGCAGCAGAGCCTCTTCTTCCTGGGCAGCCCCAACTGGATGCCCCGGTGCCCCAACCCCATCCAATCCTTGCACCCCGCCCCATAAAAATTAAATTTAAATCTGTAAATGTACATTTAAGTCTGTAGATTATACAGTTTGCAGGTCTGCAGTATAAAAAGATTGGGAACCCCTGCCAGCACACACCCCATGCTCGTAGTACCCCATTCTGGGCCCCACAGGCCCTGCACTCCTGCATGCCTACTCACTTCCACTTCCCTCCCTCCCCGTCTGCCACCACTTTCCCCACTTTCCTGCCCACTCGCCGGCTGCTCTGCAACCCGTGGCTCCCATACCCACAATACCATACCCCCTGACACCCATGCACACCCCACCCAGTATACAAGTAAGACTGCATTTTGAGGTTTTATGCAATCACTTCTACATATACAGCACAAAGTGATAATCAAATTCTCGCTGTGGTGTCTCTGTCTCTCTGCTAGCTACAGTCCAAAAACAAGGTCTTTGGACATGTACACCAATGAGCAAAAAGCCTGAAATTACCTGGAGTGATTTAAGTACTGTGATGACACACATATATCCATATTCCACATTAGGGAATCTATCTAGTACAACTGTGGGTGTTAAAGTAACAGAGGATAATAAATCTGGTCTGGACTCTAACACCAAAGTAACAAATAATTCAATTTGTTTTGAATGAAAATTCAACGGAGAGGGCAACAGGATACACTGCATCTGGCTATACCATGATAGCAGTGTCTCCCAGCCAGGCTGATCGTGAGCACAGCCCTGCTGTGACATGCTGCAAACCCAGAAGTTCACTGCAGAGGCTACTCTGTGTTCATATCCAGCAGCTGCTCCCAAGCATGCAGGGAACTGAAATCTCCACAGCTGTCACATAGGTATGGTCCAGGATGTCTTCACCAGTGTGTTAGTAGTCTTGCAACATGTTAGTGGGAATGGGTGGGCACAGTGGGCTCAGAAGCAGCCTAGCTAGGCCCCTTGCTGTCATGGTGTAGGCATGCCTCCTGAACACCATATTCCTATTTTGACTTCACCCTATCACTTTCAAAAAAGCTAAATCAACTTAAATCAATCTTTTTATTATTATTATTATTTTGGGATAGATTGCTTAGCTGCACCACTGTTTAACCTTCTTGGGGCTCACTCTGAACTGAGCATTCTTTTGGAAAAAGCTGTGTTAATAAAGATAAAATGAAATTGTTCATCTTATTTTTATAAGCCAGAGCAGAGTGCTGGCTTTATAAACTAAATAATACAGAAAACAGTAAGCTTTCATAGTAACTGCTTTCTTCATCAGATGAAGTACAGTATTTACTTAAATCCAAGGCAAAGTATTTTCTCCATTCAACATAGGGGGTGGGGAGGGTGGAGGGAGAAAACCATGTCTTGGATTCAAGTACCGGCACAAAGCAGGCAGTGGCTGCAGCTGCAGCTCTATCCCCAACCCGAGGCTGTAGCTGTAGCTGCCTTCTGTGCATGCTGGTGCCAGGTCAGAGTTGCTGCTGCTGGTGGGCTGTGGCTAGAGCTGCTGCTGCCTGCCCAAGACCATGGCCAGAGCCACTGTATGTGCTCCATGCCCCAGACAAGAGCCACAGCTGCATGGAATAAGTGTTGTTGCAGGGAGCAAGCAGCCATCAGAATTTTTAACTTCTAATGCATAACTCTCACCTCTGAGATATTGATTGTGTACAGTGGAAAGATCCAATTGGGAATATTCCTGTGCAGAAGGATACAATGGGAAGGGAGGCAGGGGAAAGGGGAAGAAGACAAAGGCTCCATGTCAGCCACTGAATATTCAGTAAGCCAAAGGCTCATCACTTGAAAAGCCATATGCTCAGACCATTCTCCATTGATAACTTCTCAATCCTTTCCCCCATAAAACAGATCTTCATTCCTTCCCTCCACATCTCCCCCTTCCTCCCCAGTACACATGGACATACACATGCAAACAAGCTTGGCACATCCTAAAAGCTTAATCCAATTCCCCACCTACAATGTTGCAGTAAGGAACCATCCTTTATTCTCTACTCCCTCTTGTAAAATACAGCTTCATCCATTAAATACATTCATCCATAAATGCATTTAATAAGGATCTGAGCAATCAACATAAAGGCGTAACTGCTAAACTTTTATACATTTTTAATTTTGCAATTTTCCGTACATTTTACTACAGGTTTTTTCTGATGCTGGTACTGAGTAATATATATTTCTGACACACATTTGTGAGATGACTTTGTTTTTTCCTACTATAATTTTATCTATTTGCGTTGACTTAGGATAGAAAGACAAAAATATAGGTTCAGAAAGGTGCCTATGTGAAATCATGTTTTCCTCTTTTGTTGTGCAGTGATTTTCACCCTTTGTTTCTTTCCTGGTCAGATACACCTAGCTATTGATACAGCAGAATCTGGAATCCATCCAGTTTATTTTTGCAGTGCTCACTACATTGAGATGTTGCTGAAGGCCGAGTTGCCACTTGTCTTTTCAGCTTTCCACATGTCTGGTTTCACTCCATCACAGGTAATTTATGAAAGAGAATTAAAATGTCATTAAGTATTGACTTAAATCCATAAAATCAAGGACATTCCATGTTAGACTCATCTACATAACAAGCTATAAAACTCAGCCACAGTGGAAAGACTTAAGAATTAAACTTTAAACTTCATCCACACAAAACAAAGTCACATTAAAAGAGAAGTATTTGTTTTGTATCTTTTAAATATCATTTAAATGTGTAGGGATACAAATGGAAAGTAGTTGACTTCAATATCATTATGACATTTTATTTCACCTGAGGATCTTCCCCTTCCTTTATGTATAAAGTTCACCAAAATAAACTAGTTAAGCATTGATGCTACAGAAAAGATCAGTAAAAAAAAAAAAAAACAACAATCTTACTGTTGTCCCTAACTTGAGTCTTTCTAAAGATCTTTTTTGCCAAGTTTGATGGCATGAATGTTTTCTTTATGAAGACAGGTACAGGCTTGTTTACAGCTTTTCGTTAAAATAGATGATTCTTTAGCCTGCCAGGCCTTTCCATCTCTGCTTTCTTCTGCTTCCTTATTTGTAGGGACCTATCTAATTTGCAGGGGCAGAATGCAGGCCCGGGCAGTCATTTCACAGGCAGACCATGGCTCCCCTCCCTCCCCATACCTCCGATTGGCTAAAGGGCCACAGTGGTCCTGCCCTTCACCACTGATTAGCTGCATGGGCTGCCTGTCATGCAGCCCCACCCCTCACTACTGATTGGTGCATGGGGTCAGGGCTACATGGTAGGCAGCCCTCACAGCCAATCAGCGGAGATGGGAGGATAGTGTTCCTTTGAGTGCACAGCCTTCTTCTCCCTTCCCACCTTGGCAGGCTGTCGTAGTGTGCTAAAGACTACTAGCTCTCTCTGGGGAGCCAGCATTTTATTTTCAGTACTGTTCTCCCCCCCCCCCCCCCCGGGGG